TTTTATAGCTGGTATGACTGTGTTTGTCTAATAATTGTCATACATAAATACATTTCATTATATGCAAATGAATAATGTTTCCAACATACATGCCAAATAATTATTACTTCGGCTTTTAATAAACTCTCTAGAAATACATTAATTCCATCTTATACACTCCTCACTACTTAATGAAGAAAAATATTGCTCCAAAATACTTAAATATATTCTTATAAGACAGAAATTCCCGCTATTGCAAGGTAGATGAGTTGATAGTTTAGTTTTGTCAATAAGTTCAGTTTTCCCTCCATTTTACTCTTTAGCTAGATGAGAAAAATGTAAAATCCCTTATGATTAAAAATATTGTGAAACACCTGCTTAAGACAAGACTGTTTCCATATCCCAGCATATATCTTATGGAAACAATGTTACTTGATGTTGTTCATGATAAATTTTGTTTAGTGAATAATATATACAGATGCTCATATCTGCTACTTTGTGAGCCTTTGTATACATTTGCTATGGAGGCAGTGATGATATTTTCCAAGCATGAAATCAGAATACCTGTTCTTGATGAAGGATTTCTGGAATATGAAAGATAGATTTTCTTTAGCAGTAATGTATCAATACTTACCTGTGTTATTGAAAAGAACAGATTTAGAGTAAATCAAGACTGGGCCAGGTAATCCTGGGCATATGATCACCATAACACATAAAAAAGAAACTGCCAAAAAAAGAAAAGAGGTTTGATTATTACTTGCATTGATTGCAATTAATTGATCGATAAGTCGGTTGATTGATAAGAACTGAGTGTTTACATACAATTTTCTTATTCTGTTGCCGAATGGCAGTAACGTTCCCCTCGGCTCATCTCAATATTTTTCACTTCTAACACCTCAAGCACTTAACCAAACAAAACATGTCAAGCTCTAAGGAGTGTTATTTTAACAAAATTCCCCAAAGAAATTCAGTTCATAATCAGTTGATCATTCATCCAGCCATGGAGTGTTTATTTCTTTACTAGGGAGATAAGACAAGAAACAACTAAGAGGATTGGGAAAGGGAGTTTTGGATTAGAGAAGGGATGGTCAAAATGGACATTTTAAATCACATCAAAGGACAAGAAAACTTTACACCCTTCAGGGTTCATTTAAAGGGGCTCTGTCTGCTGTTAACAGTTGCCAACTTGCCTTACTGCTTGTGAGTCCACATGCAGCAGCTTCCCAGGTGAGATCGTTCTGTGCATTATAGTGAGACTGCTATGAAATAGGTCCATTTGCCCTTTCCTAATCTACTTTTGTTTCAGGCAGAAGATCAGATCCCTTTACTGCATATTTTCCCTATAAGACCAAAACAAAACAACAACTCAGACACAGAAAAGGATCCCTTTCCAATTAGACCCACTGAACCCCAGAGGGCGAATAAAGATGCCTGAAGACGAAGCTCTTTCAACCTAATCCCACCTGTTTAGTATTTCTCAACTCTTTGGACTGTTCTCATTCTTAGCTCTGCTAGTTCTATCAGTGTGTTTCAGTATTTTCACGGCTACTGTGGCCTCTGTTTCCCAAGCTCTACTTTCTGCCTCCAGTGAACCCCTTCCTCCCACCTCCCCCTGTAATTTTCCTTCTCTATCCCTTTGAGTGATCAGGCTCTGCTCATCTCTGTATCCTCAGGGTCTAGCACAGGGCTTAGCACATAATTAGTGAGAGGTTATGAGACGCTTCTTCCCTTAACAGAAAGTGGGATGCTCCCCCAAGATCTTCAACGACTGAAAGTAGAAGACAGTTTTAGTACTATAATTCATCTGTTAGAATGTAGTTATGATAGGTATAATCCCTTATATATTCTTGTACTTACTTCCACTCTATATTTTTACAGTGATTTTTACCTCTTCAAAGCACTTTTACATCCTTTGTTCCACTGGATTTCAATCCCACATGCCTATGAAGAAATCAGGGCAGTTGCTATTATCCTGTCTTATAGTTGAGCAAATTGAGGCAGAGAGTAAATTACTTTCTTTGTCTCTGTCCATGAGCTGTGACTAGAATCCTCACCATAGTTCTGTATGAACTGGAGTATAAATATCTTTTCTGAACAAAATTACTCAGAAAGGATATTTATATTTCAGATCATATATATGTATCTATATATACAAAATATATATTTTAAAACAATACTATACATATTGAATAAACATAAAATATATATTTAAAAATAGAATAAACAGATGTATATATAAGCATAGACTTGTATAAATGTTATACATACATATAAACATGTATAAATAAACATATACATGTAAATAAGTATGTATGTAGTTTCTTATAGACATGTAGCAGCCTAGAGGGATGTTCCTGTTTGCCTTATGTGTTTTAAATAGACCCTAGTAGTCATGTGCATATTATTCAGACTTGAAAAAGCTGTGGTTCTAAAGGTTGTTTGCTGGTTACTGATGAGAGAAATCTTCCTTACACTTAATTTACTTTGGTAGATGCTTTTTGCAAAGAGCAGTTGAACTTGGCACTGTATTACACGTCTCATTGAGTGGAGAGGAGGAAGATGAAAGGACATAATTAATTATAAGACCAGCCTTAAGACTCCTGTGCTTAAAGAGCTGTCCAACCCCAGGGAGTTGCTTCGTGCCTGAGGCTGGAGTGGGTTCCTTCACCTAATCACCACTGCTTGCCCTAATGAAGTTCTGCTGCTTTTCTTTAGCAGAGTGAGGAGCATTTCTGGTGCTCTAAATAAAGAATCAGGATGTGGCCTCTTATTTTAATGGGCGGAAGGAGAAGGAAGGGTGACAGGACATACACCTATTTAGAAGACAGCTAATGAAATGATTTATCTGACAGAATTATCCCGCAATAATTTCTCCCCAAGGAGACTTATTAGGGGGTATGACTTGAACGTTCATTACCATCGCCATCACAGAAGCTAGTGTGGTCTCTGGCCTCTATGCTTGTAATGGCTTCTGTGAAAATATATCAGCACCATGGAGCCAAATGCAGAAAACAGATGCCTTGCTGATTGGACGTAAGACTCCAAGGAAGGGTCAGCCACAGGCTAAACTGTGAGTTAGCTAACGTTTGTCTCTGACACCCTCCAACTTCTTTTATTAGTCTCCTTCTCTGCTTTCATGGTATCATTTTCTTCTTCTCTCATGCTCTCTAATTGCCCAGAGCCCCTGCATGGGCCTGCCTGCTTTGGTAGTGCTCTGTGCTCTGAACCTCATAATTTCTCATAGCCATCAAACCTCCTCTCATTTAGACTGTCAGGTTGAAATGTGACCTCAAAATATTTTCTACTCAGGTGTACTAAGGAACTAGTACACTAATATTTGAGGACTGTTTAATGTGGCTGGCCTTCCCTCCCTCCCTCCCTTCCTTCCTTCCTTCCTTCCTCCCTTCCTTCCATTTTGATAGAGGAAAAATATTCTAATGCAAAGCAAAAAGTATATAATGACAGCGAATCAATCAGAATAACGGTAGAAAAGTTACTTTATGTAGTTTAGGTTATACATCAATAACGGTGACTAAAAAATCTCAGTGGCTTAAGCCAGCAAAGGTTTGTTTCTCATTCCAAATTGGGTTGTCAGGGTTCTCTGATCCCTGTAGTCCTTCAGAGACCCAGGAACCCAGACTGGGAAACAGCCACCATTTCAAACATGGCCGGTTGCTGTGCTCACTGTAACAAAGAAAAGAAAGCTCTAGAGGGACTCCCATCGGCAGTAAATGCTTTGACCTGGACATGACACATCCTGAGGGACCCTGGAAAGACAGGAGCATTGTTGACTGTCCTCATACTCATTTATCTTTTATCCTCAATAACCAGCACAGTAAATGTTTATTGAAGTGAAATGATTTCCAGGGATTCTGGTTTCTTTTGGGTTTGCCTTGGTCTGTCTAAAAGGAAATAAATAACAGAACCCATGAAGTAAAGCCTGAAGGCCTCCAGACTTAGTCTGGTGTCCCTGGGACACTAAAGATAAGAGGAATCCAAAGCCCTTTGAATCTACGTGAGAAGAATAGCATTCCAGGAGAGATCATTCACGGTTGGTCAATTTCATGAATATCACGTTTCTTCTGATGACTTAAGGAAATAGCTCTATACAGTTATTCCTTTTCTACTGCTTGGCACATGGTATTGTGCATTGAATATTTGTTGCCTGACTCATACGCAGACAGCCCATGGTCCTTTTTTGGCCTCTTTAAGTATCATGAGATACTTTTACAAAACAATCACTTTTTTGTATGTGCTGGTATAATGGAATTTTATTAAATGTGTATTTCAATCATGTAAATTTAGCCATATATATGTGTATTTGTCTGTGTGTGTGTGTGTGTGTGTGTGTGTGTGTGTACACACACAGGAAAAAGAGAGGGAGAAAGAAAAAAAAAATACTGAGTTATACAGTCCAGGTAGTTCTGCCTGCCATTCCATTTACTGAGATTATGCCTCCAAGCAGGAGTGAGATGAAAAACTCCAGTCTACTCTGGTCTCAGTTAAATATGACTCTCAGTGAGAACAACTCAGCCCATTGCATGTACTTCTAATATTCAAATATATGGCCAAGCATTTTTTCATACAACTTGGCTCCTAAATGTACACCAGCTGCTTCATTGGCACTCACCCATAGAGCCAATGATCTGTTCCTGTGCCAGAGGAAACACTGGCTGTACTGGGGCTCACTGTGAGGTGGTATGTTTGTCTCCAGCATGGTGTGATTTCGACTGGGTTTTACCTAAAACCAACTTTAGGATCTTACATCACCTGTAGAATGAGACTCGACAGCATTCTCGTTCCTTAGAAAACTAGAATCATTAGCGAAGACTCCCTGATTTTCTGTAGTCTATTTTATTTTGATCAAAATTATTTTGCTTTATCTGCTGTTTTCCATGTGTGGGTCTCGAGTTACATTGAAACCTGTACACTATTCCAAAGATTAAATGTGCCCATGGGAGTATATATGTTACTTTTGCATGTCCCAAAGCAGATTAACATTGTTCTTCCATCCTCTCCAGAGTGCCTACCGCATGTTTACAAACAACACGTGTTTGAAGCACATGATCACCAAAGTCCGGCGGGACACCCACCACTTTGAACGCTACCAGCATAACCGGGACCTTGTGGGATTCCTCAACATGTTTGCAAACAAACAACTGGAGCTGCCGAGGGGCTGGGAAATGAAACATGATCATCAGGGCAAGGTAACTTGCGGGAGTTGCCATGGGGAAGCCTCCGTGTGACTGTGGGCTGCTTGTGGCTTTGGCACTGGGCCCTACCCTTCAAGTGAGGGCTAAAAGCCCTGCGTGACCTGGTTCAAGGGAAACCTGGACAAGCAGGTTGTTTGATACCATAAACCATTGCTACACTTTTCTGAAGTAGTGTATGTGGTGGATGGCTGTGAGGGCACTTGTTGGGCAAAACACTCACTTCCCCTGGATTTTCTTTGAATTGTAATCTCTCACCATTTTCTACTGATTAGAGAAAAGGTTTCTTAGGCAACAACACTTCCTTCTAGCTATACAGCTTGTGCCGTGGGTAGTTGAATACAAGTTGCGGCATTGTTTGGAGAAAGTGGCTAGGAGGTTGCTAAGCAACAGTGCAAGGTGTGTCTGTGACACCGTCAGGGTTTGGGCCTCAGTCTTGTTGATTCAGAACCCTGGTTTTGTTAGCACATTAAAGCAAGATTCACAGATTGATGAATTTATGATGAGAAATACGTAACTCTCACACAGGCCGGGTAACCACATCCGTACTTCCTTCTTCGACGGATGAACCAGAAAGCTGACTTGTAATCAGGAGGTTGTTATATAAGTAAGAAATCAGAATGAGAAAGTTAGTAATTCTTATAAGGTGTTTCTCAGCTAAGACTTTATTTATTAACTCTCGTTCAGCACCTACTATGAGCCGTGAACTGTTTAAGCCCTTTATATGTTTAAGCTCTTCTCAACAACTCTGTAAGGCAGTACTGTTATTATTATTGCTATTTACATATAAAGGATCCCAGGTCCAGAATGGTTCAGTGACTTGCCCAGTGTCATAGAGGTGAGCAGTGTCTGAGCTGGGCTGTAATCCAGGCAGTCTGTTTCCAGGGTCCATGCTCTTAACCACCACAGCATGCTCTCCAAGTATTGAGTAACCAACCTCAATTTCCCTATCTATAAAAAGGCTTGAAATATGTGACTTGTAGGGTGGGGAGGATTAAATTGACAAGATATTTACAATAACTATGCTTGACTTTTTCATTCAACAAATATTTATTGAGTACCTGTGCAAAACAGCTAAGCCAGCTACTCCATGGAACTGCCATTCTGATGGAAAGAGATGGGCAATGGACAGATAGGTAAATACATAGCATGCCAAGAGCTGACTAAAGCTATGATTTAAAAGAAAGCAGGAGATGGGGTCTAGAGAAAGGTAGGAGTGGAGGGTTATTTTATAGAGGGTGGCTGGGGAAGGCCTCACAGATAAGGCTCTACATGCACACAGACTTGAACGAAGTGAGAAGTAAACCATATCAGGGAGGAGCATTCAAGGCGAATGGAATGTGGAAAGTACTCAATAAATGCCGTTCTCCCCCAAAGTACCCTCTGGCAATAATACCACAGTAGCATCTTACTCATCCTGAACTCAGCTTCCAGCAATCTTATCTAAGAACTTATAAGCAGTCAAATTAGATATTACAAAGTACATGTATGTTTTGCATGGGAGGAGCCCTCAGACTTTCATTGAAACTATTGACTTGATTTCTGTAAATTTTTTTTAGTAAACCTCTAATTCCCAGCCTAGAGGAGATTAGAAGTGGCAAGCATGAAGTAGAATAGATGAAAGAGAATGGATTTGTGATTAGGTCCCTGGACCACAGATAGAATGGCGTTGTATCAGAGTCAGGTGGGCATGGCAGGGAAGTCTTTCCAGGACACTAGGAGCTGCACGCAGGGACCCTTGGCACTTCCTGTGCTCTCTCCTTCCAGAGGAGGATGTCGCTTTGCTGGTGCTGATTCTGGGTCAACAGCCTGAGAGCCCAGTGTTTGTAAACATTCTAACTAAATGGAAGGGCACAGGTGGTCCAAGAAAGGACTTCGGAAAATATTGATGGTATTATACCTGCATATAAAAGAGCATTAGCAGACGAAGAATTCAGCTCTGTTCTCAACTCTGACAATATTTTTCCTGGTGTCATGAGGAGCTATACTAATTAGAGAACCATAGCTCCAGGGAAACCCAAGTTGAGATAATGCTGCATGTATTTCTGCTCTATATAGAGACTTAACTTGCTAAGTCATTTTGTATCCTTAGCTAAAGGGAATCGGGAACTTATCATGCAGACATGGAAGGGGAGGTTCCTTTCTTGCCAGTCACAACTTGTCAGACATGCTTCAGGAGAGAGCTTCTTATTAATAACACCTGAACCTCGAGAAAAGTTTAAGTTAAACTTAGGATACTATTTGAGTTACGATGTATTCTGAAGAACAAATTCTGTCTCATAGCTTTTATAAAGTTTCGATAGTTAAACAGAGGTAAACATTATCTCGGCTGTGTGGGTAACATAACCATCCATCTTATTCCCTGAGGGTTTGGATTCATTTGGGGTTTCAGCCTGAAGTTGTAAGCATTGTAAAGAGCCCTGGATGTGGGCTGGTAGATAGCTGACCTCACAGTCTGTTGGTGGCTTTGCATTTGAATGCTGTGTGGCATGAAAGATGTGGAAAGACCCCTGGCCTTGTGGACAAAATGGATTATCAGACAGGCCTGAAAGATTATCACTTTAGCCTGATTCTTCTGCTTTGTGCATTTGGACTTTAATAAGATTTTTAGCTAAGCTGGGTACCTTAGTGAAAGCAGGTGTATCTCCCTGTGCTTCTCCCCTATCCTTCCTGTATAAATGATTGGCCTCCAATGAACTAAAATAGCTTAGAAGAACATTTGGGAAAGGCCATGTCTGTATTTGGCTGTGCTGCTTTTGATTGTACTTTAAAAGTCATGGCTCCCATCCTCCAGGCAGTTAATAGGTTTTCTTCCAGCCAGAAATTTTAGCTCCCCTTTTTAATGAATAGCTTTACCTCCAGAACATTTAAAGGGAGTAAACTTTTTGCCCCATTTAATATAACATCGAAAGCTATTAAATACTACGAGGTTTTTTTTTCCCCTCAGTGATGATTGATTTCTAGAATTGACATGGAATAGGATGGCCAAATCCTCACCTGCATGAAAAGAAATGGTTCTTAAGAGGAACGTTGTCAAACTTAGCTGCTCAGGCTTATGAAATTTGGCCCCATGTTGTCTTCTCAAGTGCAACATCTTCCTTTTGTGTTTTCATTTGTTTTGCCATTCAACACACTTCTGAATGCCTACTATGTACATGCCACTGTGATAACAATGATACAAGCTAACAGTGTAGCATTATGTAGTATGTAGCATTGGCTGTGTGCTACCCATGTTATAAGCACTTAGATTAATTCCTTCCCTACTCACAGCAGCCTTGTACATAACTGCTATTTTTATCCATATTTTCTAGAAGAGGAAACTGAAGCATAGCATGGCAAATTTACCAAGGTCCTACAATTAGTACGTGATAGAATTGGATTTGACTCAAGACATCCAGCTCCAAAGTCTGTGCTTTTACCCTGCCTCTCACCAGTGAGGAGGGTGAATGGATATCTTCTAGCAATTCAGTGAAGGTGCTCTGGGAGCCTGTGGTAGGGTCTCCTACCATAGTTGAGGGGGTGGGGGCTTTTAGACACATCACTGAAGGGCAGCATATTGGGTGGGTTGCTCTTGGCTCTCCAGGCATAAGCGACTCCCCACAGAGTCTCCCTTGCAGTGTTTTATGACAGCTATCCCCATCTGTCTCATGGTTTAGTTAACTTATTTTATCTTCTAAAGCAGATGATCCCCTTCTTGAGAGTTCTTCTGTTTATTGTTTAATTACCCCCTTCAACCCCAGTGCCATTCATATAGAAGATTCTCAAAACAAGTTTGATGAATGAATGAAACTTGTTACCTGTAGATTCCTGGTTATTCAGTGATGTCTGCTTTGGACAAATGAAGAAGCTTCCAGGCTCTCTCCTCAGTGCCACTCCCTCCTCCTGTGCTGTCACCAGAAGTAGCTCCTAAGATTCGCCTGATTTGACCTCTCTTAATGCATATGTTGTCTTGGATTTTTCGTATTACATGTTTGAACAAGGTAGTGATTATGCTTGTACCACACTTTAGCTGTCTTCAGTTTTGGAAGAGACTTTTTGTTTTCTAATTACTTAAGGCCAAAGGTTTAAATTGG